ATAATCGCAATTTGTTACTCTTCCACTGGCTTTATTATTATTTTTTTCTTATTAAGGTTTTATTAAGGATCACGTGAGATACCTGGGATATTTGAGAGAGTGTTCTGTTGGACGATGCATTGTTCTATTTTGATCTCTCTATACGCTCTTCAAGTTTGGCCGTAACCTTTTGAATCACCCTGTATATATATCATGTATATGTATGTATATCATATGTTATACGAGAAAAAGATATTCGCGGGAAAAAGCACATAAATTTATCTATCTATATTTAAAAAATATATATATATTATATATCTCAAAAATTATATTTTGATACGATCAACTTACAACGACAAATGCGCCTCTAAATTCATCAGGTGCCTTCGAATTGCTCGTGCCTTACGGTTCTCGCGTGAGGAGGGATCAAGAACCAAAAGCGTCGCCGCCAAGTATCACTCGGCGATAAGCGTACATATTTATTGTATTGTATTTGTACGGAATTTCGTGCGGAAACAATGTACCCCAGTGTCCTCCTCACGCGCATTATCAGTATTTAAACTATTCTTTATTTATTGCTCTATTGTATCGCGACAACGTGAAGATTTACCGATCCCGTAACCAGGACTTGGTAGACTTGGCGTGATTTTGCGTCCTCCGTCATTTCTATGCCTTCCCGATCGCATACTTCGTAAAAACGCGTTGAGTTTCTCTTGTCCACACTCTTTGCGCGCAATCGATGTAATTTCGCACGGCCGAAGACTCCACGATTATCCGGCGCTGCGTATCGCTTATCGACGTATTATCGTTCGTTTATTGCGTGTAGCACGTACGTGGTCAATGTCGAGAGAAAGAGAGAAAAGAAAGAAAGAAAGAAAACACGCGGTTCCTTCGACGTGCGGCAGCTCAAAAAAAACGCGAAGTCATAGAATCGAACGGTTTATCGGCATTTTCACGTTGCAAACGTTCACGATAATAATATTGTTAATTCTGTATTTTATTACACGCCTTTTTTCTCATATTATCGAGTTTTGTCGACCACATCCGTCATTGTGATTTATCGAGAGGAAACGAACGGAAGAAAAATAGAGAAAGAGAGAGTGTGTGTGTATGTATGTGAGCGTCCACAGTAGATTATCGGAGAACGAGAGTGAAAATGTTATGATCTTAGGGTCCGAGGAGTGCAAGAGAAAGGCATCGAGATTACGAATTTTTTTTTGGTACGTTAAGAAATCCAAGAATTATTGTATTATTAAATATTGTATCATATACACACATGCCTAGAGATTGTATGAAGCGCGCCGAACAACCCAAGATTGCCCGTTTTGGCACCCGCAACGTTTTGACACGCTTTATACGATATAGAATCTTTCCCGAATTTGAGAGAAAATATAAGAGATTATTTTTTAAAAGAATTTTCCTTCTCTGTTATTATTGCCCTTATTCATCAAATTTATTTTTTAAGGTTGCTCACGCAGTTGTAGAATATTGTTCATCGCAGAGAAATGTAAATTGAAACAGTACTCTTATCTCGACGACACGATGATACGACATTTAATTTGAAATAAAATATAATTTTACATGAACGATAAGATACGCTGGTCTTCCAAACTTTACCCGAAAAAATAAATCAAACTGATCGCGTTTCGAGATTATTATTTTGTAGATATAAACTGAGTAATATTGATCACTAAAAGTGAAATAAGTAACGCTACAAGTTTTTGATTTTCTAAAAATTTCGTAGTAGTGAGTTGTTACTTTGTTACATTTTCTGAATTATTAAACATCGTCGGCGGATGCGCGTTATCTATCATATCTGTACGCGACATGCATTAATCTTCCCTAAGACTCTTTTGAGAAAAGCCGTATGTACTTTTTTTTTTATCTAGAAAGACACGATTTTATCGAATGGCTCGAAGAAAGCGCTATTGCATTAGCACATTTGACGCAATAGTCTCTTTCTTCCACCGATATGATTCACCGAGGTCTCTGTCTCACGCGATTCTACAAACCTCGCAAGCATTTATCTTCCCGCCGCGTACATTTCAGTATAGTTACGCGTGACGCAGTGAGAGAAAAGTTCCATTCTCTCGTTACATCGATTCCATGATCCGGCATTTCCGCTTGGATCGCGAAACAATGACGCGTCGAAAAGTTTCGTAATATTATTACGAATTATAAATTTTGACGCCATTCTCGTGCGCTTTAACCTTTTCGCACTCGAAATTACTTTTATCGTAATATTGATAAACATTACGTCAGTTTCAATCTCGTAGTATCGAGGCCATCTGCGAATCTGTTCAGTTAAATTAATTTTGTCTCTTGCAAACGTCTCTCCAATCTTTTTTGTGTGACGTCTTTCCGATCAAGAATCACACACATTAATTGCGCGCGATAAAGAGAGATCATAATTTTTATATCTTTAATTATCGATTTGTTTTTCAATCATCGAAAAGGATGTCACGTATTTCAGAAAATTCTGGCGATATCGCAATTGCTCTCGGTAGCAGAGAAACAAGCGGGGGAAGTCAGTTCTTAAGTAAGAGACAAGCTGGAGCTGTGCGCTCCTCTCGCAATTAGCGATTTACGTAATTTCGCGCACGATCTGCGCGGAGCGCAACTCGCTCGCTGCAGACTGCGTTCCCGAAGAGGAACGCTCTCGCTCGCTCGCTTCGATATCACGGGTGGGGGGGGGGAGGAGAGGGAGGGGGCGGGAGCCCCGGTTCTCGCTCGTCCCGCCGCTCGGATTAGAGGCGCGATGGAGATAAGCGCGAGCCAAGTCATGGAGACTCACGCACGCATCGGCTTGATGTCGGTCCTCGCGTACCGATACCCCGCGCGCCGATGCACCGATTGCATTGTTTCCGTTATCGCGCCCGGCTCTGGATTGGCAGCTCTCGCGGCCTCCGCGCGTTAAGGCTCTCCGGGCACGCTCGAATTCGCGTAACGCGGCGGCATAGCACACGCACGTACGCACGCACGCACGCACGCACGCACACGTGCACGTTGCGCACGCACGAGAGGCTTTTGGAGAACGCTCCTCGCTCACGTTTTGCTTCTCTCGATTCTCGGAGTCACGCTGTCGTGTGCAAATCCGCCTTACAGATTTCCGTGATCTTTGATTCTGCAAACAGTCTTTAATTTTTTTTTTTTTTTTAGAGAGAGAGAGAGATTTATGATGTGCACGCGTATATATAACTTGTATCATAGCTGTGTTTCGTCACGCGGAACTTCAAAATCTCTCGCGAGCGAACGACTGTAGAATGCCATGCCGCCGCACTCCTGTGAATTCCTGGCTATGCAAATGCATGATTTATTGTCGATGTTTATCGTTGCGAGTCCGGTAACAGGGAATAAAACGCTCGCTGTTAAAAGGAAAGGAAAATATAGACTGAATGACACACTCATTTCCATACCCGCGCGCCGACTCTCCGCCAAGTAGGTGATGATGATTAACTGGTATCTTAAATGTCACTTATCCAGCATGAAAGTAATAAAACGTTAATGAATTTATTTTCTAATTATCCAGCAAGAAAGTAAAGAAACATTAAAGAAACGTCATTTCTAATTATTAAGTTGCATTCGTAAAGGTATTATAGTTTTTATGCTAGTAATACGATAACGAATCCGTGCACATTGATTAATGATTGCTTTAATGAAAAATATTTTTGTATTTACGTATAATAAAAAGAACTTATGTACGAAGTTAGCGTATATAATAATCAATAATTTCTCGCTTTGTGTTGCAAATAAGTGACTTGGTGCCAATGCACCTGAGCGAGTTAACCAATCGTTACCGCGTGCAGGCGGCGAAAAGAACGGAAGCTGAAGTCCAGTTTCACAGATCGCTACTTTAACGTCAGCGGGACAATTGATTTTAGCTCATACATTATATCTCGGAGTTTTCATCACGTAATAAAGTAGAGAGCTCGCAATTTTTTTTCATGAAATTTTTATAAATGCCATCGTCATTCCAGGACTAATCGTGAGTTAATTTCTCTGATTTAAAGCAAATTGAAGTCAAGAGGCTCACAAAGAATCGAACTTGTATAAATAAACATAGTTAATAAGCCATGGAGTCTAATAAAATAGTAAAACACACATATTCGAATCTTAATTTAACATAATTAAAATACAGCGTAACCGTTAAGATATGTGACATAAATATCGTCATTCTAGGACTAAGTTAATTTCTTTGATTTAAAATACATTAAAGTCAAGAGGCTCATAAAGAATCGAACTCATAAATAAACATAATAACATAATTAATGAGCCATATGGAGCCTAATAAAATAGTAACGGACGTATATTCAAATCTTAACTAAATATAATTAAAATACAGTCGTAATTAAGATATGTGACATAAATATATCGCATTATAAATTAGTCGTTTAATTTAATTTCTTTGGATTTAAATATTATATGTAATAAAGAAATGCACATTGTGTTCTGATATATATTAATTAGCGGCGTAAAACTCCATTTAAAGAGAGAAGTCAACATTCCTTGGGAGAATCTGTCCAAAGTCTCGCGATTAAATCGCGATAGCAACATTTATTTATCCGTTTTTATTACGGCCACCGCGTGCGCGCCGAGCGGACCTTGAATCGAAGCATGACTGTTGCAACGCGCCAATCAACGCCAATAAATGTCACCGGCTGGTGCAACGCAATTAGGAAGGGTGTAGTGGCACGATAAAAAAAAATGACTCCGATGGAATGCAACATTCCGAGCGTGTGATATTAGGCCTGTTCGTTTTAGCTGAACTTGTTGCACGGCTCGTCTTTCCTCTTTTTCTTTTCACGTTGAAGAGAAAAAGAGAAAAGATGAACCGTGCAACAAGTTCAGCTAAAACGAACAGGCCTATTATGAAGATCAAATCGCGAACGGTTGCCGATCTCCTTGCTTTCCCTCGAGAAGACTTAACTGTTTTCCTCGTACTTAAGCCGCACGACATCTAAAGGTTTTAAGTCTCCCGAGTTTCCTATTGTTGTTATACGTGTCTCGAAGAGAGAAGCTGGGAATACAATTAACGTGGCGTGTAGCATTTAGATACTCAGCCGCGCGCTCCCGGAATACCTACCTCTCGCCGGTCCGTTTCGTTCTTCGGACCGGAAATATAAAAGCACGCTGAAAAAGAGCTCTGGCGTTGCTCCAAAAGCCGTCGTCCGAGCCGACGTGACTCTCCGATTCTGTTTGCTGCGGAATGGGCAGCAAACAGTGCAGCGGGGCGGACAAAAGTTTTCGGCGATTATTCCCTCGTGCCTCTCGTGCGGACCGTTGACTTTTGTAGGCGAGTGGCCGAGGTAGAGAACCGGGCAAAAGGGAAGTGTGTCAGAATATGAGAAATCGCCGTGTCCCCGCGGAGTAGCCGGTGAAGCGATCCCGGTAAAACAACGCGCTATTTGTCAAATACTATTATTACTCGTGGATCTTTTAGCGATCGCGATTACCCCACGGCTACAAGTTTCTATGTCCCACATAAAGTGTTCGTTCTCTAGCTCTTCTCGATTGTAAATTATCAGCTTAAACGACGGATTAGAGCTTCCTTTAACGCCGCTCCGATTGATGTACTTCTCGACTTTATTGACAAGCAAAATAATGTATCTCGAACATTTCTGGACTCGGTAACTATATTCCCTGGTGAAAAAATGTCTCAGAATTTTTGACAATTTTAAGACTTTCTCAGTGTGCTCGGAATTTTTCCGACTTTTTATACAAATTAGAATGTTTTTTAGATATAATAATGAGATATTACAGATTTTTCCTGCCAACACATCTTTGAAGTCTGAATAAATACGAGAAAATTCACGCAATTTGTCAGAAATTTTCTTACAGACACTGAAAAATTTCGAAAATCCTCATTTAATTATTTCTTGAAATATCTGACAAATTTTATACATTTTTTCAGAATTTTTCATAAATCTAAAATATGAGAAATTCCTAGAGAATAGGACATTTTTTCATCAGGGTCATTTTCCGTCACGTCGTGCAAAGAGGTATTTCTTTACAAAAGTAAATTAAGCATATCTAATAAGGAACTTGCAATTGCACTGCAACTTGTTGATACAGGCGCGATATCGATTTTTTGAGCTCGCGAGATTGACGTCATCGCGTTAAACTGAACTATGACGATTGAGGGTTGAGATATATGGCGTAATCGCGCAGGTCGATACGGAGAGATGAAGATATACAAATCGAGATGCAGAGAGACAGAAATAATCTTCAACCGTCAACGTGACATGAAAACGAGCGTCACGTTTGAGTAGCAATTCGGTCTGAGGGACCTTCAGAGGCGCATAACGCTCGGGAGCGGGAGGAGATGCTCATTTTCGCAATGGTGGCTAATTATAAAGCGCACTCCAAAAAGCCTGTCTTCGCGGTACACGTGTTCCCGATGTCGCGCGGCAAGGGAGAAAAAGGAAAGGAAGTCTCTCGCGGAGCGACGTTCGTCGTAATTCCCGCAAAGCGGCGAGAAAATCACCGTTTGCGAAAGCAGCTAACGCTAACTCATGCATATTTTTATCACTGCGAGAGCTCTCTATCTTCCTTTCCTCATCAGTTTCTTCCTCGTGTTTTGTCTTCATCGCTATCGCTCTTATATCACCGTGATATTAAACCCTGGATTTATCTCTGCCGACTTACACATTTTTTTCCTTCATTAAAATTATATTCGTAGTTAAAAATATCTTAGTAAACGAATGTCGGATTCAAAGAGCCGCTTGCTAACCGGATTTGTAATTACAGATGCAAGAGAGGCGATGTAAACGTCCTGGGGGAGAAAGTACATGTTAAATGTGCAAAATTACATGGGATATATAAATGACTGCGTGTTATGTATCTCCAGAAGTGACCATTGTCCTGAGCAAGGAAGAGATTCATAGGAGATACCAAGATACCGCTATGACCATATTTAAGGTGAGAAAAATAAATAAATGACCGTAAGTGTTGAATAAACGTAACTTGAACGAAACAAATTTCTGATCAAAAATTTTTTTTAATTGCAGGAGGAACAAGGTAGGAAGAAAAAAATCGCCAGCTACCTTAGTTTTGGAAACAGTCGCAGGACAATGGAATACAGTAACAACGGAAATCACCCCGTTATCGTACGCAAACCTGTGGATTCTGGAATTACGCAGAACGCTCCCTTATCTTCACGAATGTCAATAGAATATCGCAAGCCGGGCGAGAGATGCGCGATAACTTAACGAGTAGAAAATGTTACAATTTTTTTGTTCAATAAACTTAGTTTTCGTTAACATTACGGTGTCGATTCCCCTTTGCATCACAGTTCTTGGTAGGCTATTAATTTTATTACAGCTGCATTTATATGGGAAGAGACTTTTATAAAATAAATATACCATAAAATAACATAAAAAAATGTACATAGTAATCACAGAAAAATTATTTTATCACTGATACTGAAATCTGTTCTTCAATAAGCATTATGATGTGACTACAATTAAATGTAGAAAGTTATCCGGGTAACTTAAGTGTTCGGACATCCACTGAAGCGGCGTCTCTAATGGCGGTACAATGCCATGGGTGCACACTGTAACTGTAAAATCGCTTAATAAGTATCAATTTTATTAAATGAATAAAAGTGTATGAAGGGTACAGGGGAAAAACAATCAATGTCCATATTGAACTCTGATTTTTCCCCAGCATGGTACATACATCTTTTAGCCTTATTTCCAATGAATTATAAGGTAAATGTATCAATGCCGGGACATTTAAGACCTATCTGGACACCTTTATCATTTTAGTTTTTAATAAGTATAACGCGAATTAAAATCAAAGATAAAAATATAGTACAAGAAAAATATTTTTATCTTTGAGATTCTTTGATTAAAATGTCCAGACATATGACCATTTACCTTAACTGTTCTTGATCAAAACAGACAAGACTTATGAAAATTCTTTGAAAATGCCACGAGATAGCATGATCAGATCAATTTCGACAGAAGACTTTAATCGTTTTTCCCCTGTACCTTTCATATACATGATATTTCCAAGAGACATGTTACAACTGTCCAAAATCGATGAGCGTTAAGCCTATTACACAGTACAAAGGTACAGGCAATAGAAATAATATCATTTCAACTTATAATAAAACTGAAAAACTGTAATTAATCAGATATGGGTAATAGAGAACAGAAATCCAATACGTCGGAAATTCTGTTTCTATTGCCTATTGCCTGTCATATTCCATTGCGTTAATACAGTTTCTGGTAAGTTGAAATGTGGTAATTTCCGTTGCCTGTCTTATTCCCTGTTCCTTTTGTATTGTGCGATAGGCACATTTAGTTTCATCCTTTAAATTTCAAAATATGTATGCTACGTATAAAAAAATACGTATCTCTTAGATTTCTGTCGCTTTTACAACATATTTCAAGGAAAATCAAATCAGTTTCAGACACTTTTGGCATATTCTTTGTTAGAGAAACTCGTGTAATAGTACCATTTTCTTGATCCGGGAATACTTCGTTTAACAAATGCTTCAAAGTTTTTCTTTGGCCTTCTTCGTTCATTGGTTTAACAAGTTTCTGTATGTATTTATCGTCACTCGTATAACAACGGAAAGGTATGTATTTAAATCCCTCTTCAGTACTGGCTTCCATGAGTCTACCATTCACGGACCAAAACTGATCGAATTTATCATTCATAATGCCGTTCCATAGCTGCGTGTGGTCCTTTTTCTGCATACTGGAGACAATTTGGCCTCGATGCTTCAAGACGTCAGCTTCTTTTATACAAGAGAGGAAATGCGCCTCTACGACTTCCCTAAAATTGTACAGTTGCATTTACATCACCTATAACTGTATCAATTAAATAAACTGCGCTATCAATTAAACAAACAATTGCATACAACTTATTACATACTTATTTTGACAGTGCATTAGAACGTTCTCCGGAAACTTATCAAAGTGGACGACAATGTTCCAAGGAAATTGAATGTCGTTGAAATAAATGTCGAGTAAAACGCCAATCGGATAATGCCACTTTAACGGCATTCCATTAAACTCCAGCCACATCTCATGCTCTTGTTTACTGTCGCTTTGTGTATGCCGTATGAAATGTTTCCGGACCTAAAACAACATCCAAGCAATATTACAGACAAAATGATTTATTCAATAGTTATTTGCGCATACATTCGTAGAGTTTTATGTGAATAACAGAATTCTGATCTATGTCTCTTACCTTCTCCGTACATAGTGGAAAATAACTTAATCTAGGTACCATCAGGTAAAATGGATCAGGCCCTTGTAAATCGCAAATTTCCTCCGAGTTGAGAGTAAAACAGACTGGGACCTTTCCGTCCCATATTTCTCGTAGTACCTCCCGATCGTGTGCCATTGCGTTAATAATATCGCGCTCACTCTAACACATTTGTTAAAACATAGCTTGATGACAAACAGTCGGAAAGTTAGGTTATATTTTCGTCGAAGGATGGGCGCGTTCAGCAGACACAACTGTTGAGTTCGTCTCATCAACACTCTGCCTTGATTGATTGGTTCTAAAAGTAAAAGCCAATCCCGTTCGATTGCTACTGAGCGGCTTGGTCTGC